TTTTGTTCCCCGCCCCCTCCCGCAGGCCCGGCCGATCGCGGCTCCCACTGGCCGCGGTTTGCTGCTCTGGGCCAATGGGAGACTGCTGGAAGTGGCGTGGCCTGAGGGACTTACTGGCCGCTGCTTCCAGCAGCTCCCATTGGCCCGGAGCAGCGAACCGCGGCCAGTGGGAGCCGCGATCGGCCGGACCTGCGGACGGGGCAGGTAAACAAACCGGCCCGGCCCACCAGGGGCTTTCCCTACACAAGCGGCGATCCCTGTTTGAGAAACCCTGGTCTAATGAGGGGAAAATAACAGAGATTATAAAGATAGCACTTATGATGTTGAAGAATTAGTCAGAAATAAATAGGGCAGATACTTGCAGTCTCATAGTTTTGATATCAGGAGTGTCTGAGAACATTTACAGGGAGGGAATTCGACTTTTCTTCTGTCATTTCTTCCCTCTACTGACCATTTATTCTGAAACAAAATATATGTAGTCATGCAAAATCCATGCTATGAAGTATTTAAAATTATTATTTATTTGTTTACAAATAGTTTTATGATATCCTCAAAATGCCTTAAAGAACTGAAAAAAACTAACGTGAAGGGATCACTTCTCTTTACACAGCATTTTGCTTTTCCTACCACTTCTTGGGATAAATGTAATAGCCATTATTAGGGACAGCTGTAATGGAGTGGGATCTGAGAGTAATCGTGGGGGTAATTTACTTTAAAATAAAGTTGGATTTTGGCCTCTACACTACAATTATCTCCCTTACAGCCATAAAATATGACTCTTTAATTACTACTAATGGTCAAGATCTTAGTTTTAGGTCTGATCTGAAGGAACATCTTCAGCAATATTGATCCCTAAAACCACTCTTGGGCAATTGTCAAATGCTGAGCCAAAGAGAAGAATGCATATCAGCTATGCATTGCTTGAAATTCTCCCATTCAGCTGTGGAATAGGCCTTTAACCCTGGGATCTAAATTCTGGGGTCTAATAATATCAAACCTCAAGATGGTATAGCAAAAGGCCAAATTAAATTAAACTCAGAAGGAGATATTGTTGAATCCACCCAAAGGGAATATTTGTAAGACATATGAATTTTCAAGATAAAGATTCTTCTGAATTTGTTTCATTTAATATACTATGCATAGATATTCCCTAAAATTAACTATAATAAAATATGAGAAAAAGCAATATTGTACATGGGACAGCAAGCATGTAGCATTTCCTGGAGACTTAAAGCAGATGTTATTGCTTCTGGTTGCCATTTATATTCATAGAATCAAAGAATCATAGAAATGTAGGGCTGGAAGGGTCTTTGAGATGTCATCAAGTTCAGTCCCCGGCTCTCTGGCAGGACCAAGTAAACCTAGTCTATCCTTGGTGGGTGTTTGTCCAACTTGTTTTTAAAACCTTCAAAGACGGGGACTCTACGACCTCCCTTGGAAGCCTATTCCAGAGTTTAACTACCCTTATAGTTAGAAAGTTTTTCCTAACATCTAATCTAAATCTCCCTTTACTTCTTGTTCTACCTTCAGTGGACATGGAGAACAATTGATCACCGTCCTCTTTATAACAGCCCTGAACATATTGGGAGACTATTATCAGGTTGCCCCTCAATCTTCTTTTCTCAAGACTAAATATGTCCAGTTTTTTTCAACATTTCCTCATAGCTGAGGTTTTCTAAACCTTTTATAATTTTTGTTGCTCTCCTCTGGGCTCTTTCCAATTTGGCCACATCTTTCCTAAATTGTGGTGCCCAGAACTGAACACAATACTCCAGCAGGGGCCTCACCAGTGCCACATAAAGCAGGACAATTATCTTCTGTGTCTTACATATAACACTCCTGTTAATATACCCCGGAATCATATTAGCCTTTTTTGCAGCTGCATCACATTGAGGACTCATATTGTTTGTGGTTCACTATAACCCCTAAATCCTTTTCAGCAGTACTACCACCTAGACAGTTATTCCCCATTTTGTTGTTGTGCATTTGATTTTTCCTTCCTCAGTGACGTAATTTGCACTTGTCTTTATTGGATTTCTTCTTGTTGAATTCAGACGAATTCTCCAATTTGTCAAGATCATTTTGAATGCTTGCAAGCCCTCCCAGCTTGATATCATCTTCAGAATTTATAAGCAAACACTCTACTCCATTATGCATTAATGAAAATATTGACTAGTACCAGTCTCAGGACTGACTCCCAATCAGGAACCCCACTAGATATGCCCTCCCAATTTGAGAGCAAACCATTGAAAACTACTCTATGAGTATGGTCTTTCAATCAGTTGTGCATCTACCTTATAATAAATTAATCTAGACCACATTTCCCTAGTTTGCTTAGGAGGATGTCTTGTGGAGCCATGTCAAAAGCCTTACAAAAATCAAGTTATATCACATCCTACTGCTTTCCCCCTATACACTAGGGCAGTAATCCTATCAAAGAAGGAAATGAAGTTGGTTTGGCATGATTTGTTCTTGACAAATCCATGGTGATATTCCTTATAACTAAGGCTAAGATTTTGTCATGGATATTTTTAGTAAAAATCACGGACAGGTCATGGGGGGTGGTCCCCATGCCCTGCCATGGCAGCAGGGAGCTGCAGGTTTCCCCCTGACCCCCTGCGACAGCGGGGCGCTATGGGACTCCCCCTGCCCTGCTGCAACCGCAGGGATCTGTGGGGGTCCCCCTACCCCACGGCAGCAGAAGGGAGCTGCCAGTGTCCCCCTGCTGCCACCATGGTGGGGAGCTGCGGGGGTCCCTCAGCTCCGCCGTGGCAGTGGGGAGCTGTGGAGGTCACCCTGCCCTGTCACAGTGGCGGGGAGTTGTCAGGGTCCCCCTGCCCTGCATCATCATCTGGGGAGCTACGGGGATCCCCCTGCCCCACCACAGCAGGGAGTGGCAGGGGCCCCCTGCCCTGCGGTGGTGGTGGGGAGCTGCCCGGGTCCACCTATCCCGTGGCAGTGGCTGGGAACTGCCAGTGTCCTCCTGCCCCGCAGCGGTGGCTGGGAAGCTGCGGGGGTCCCTCTGCCACCTCTACTGGTGGGGACCTGCGGGATCCCCTTTTCCCTGGCAGTGGCTAGGAGCTGTGGGGTACCCCCCCTGCCTGCAGCAGCTGGGAGCTGCAGGGTACCCCCACTGCCCATGGCATCCAAGAGCTTGGGGGCCTGCTGCATTAGGCGGCGAGGGTACCTCACAGCTCCCTGTCACTGCGGGAGGCGGAGGGACCCTGTAGCTCCCAGCCGCCAGGGCTGAAGTCACGTGACTTCCACAACCTCTGTGATAACACTGTAGCCTTACTTATAACCCTCCAGGAACCTACAAATTAATTATTTGAGTCATTGTTTAATAATTTGCTCATATGAAAAGAGTGCAGCCTGGTTACTCTGTGCTGGCATGACAGATTATGAACAATCACATGTCAGATGATGCTGTCCAAGAAAAGATCTCTGGATTTTGCAGCAAATTTTTCTAATTGAAGAGCTGGCAACTAAAGCTGAATGCCATCTAGGATTCATATAGTTAAATATTAGGTAGCTCTGAAATTATGTGAACTAGGGTAAAAGGGCCTGATTTTCCACTGGTTTTACATTAGTGTATCTCCATTGAGTTCAGTGGAGTTCCAAGTGCATAAAATCAGAGTAAAGGAGTGGAGAATCAGGGCCATAGTGTTATGTATTGTGGTTGCATTTGATATATAGTCCTCTTCTATTTGGGGTCAAATTCAGACCCAATGTAAATGGGTATGACTCCACTGAAATCAACAGAGATGCACACATTTGCATCATGTGTCTTGTAGATCCATGATGATGGGCTTCCCCTGCCAACAGCAGCTGCTGAAACTCCCGCTTAAAGGGAGAACCCCACAGATTCGTGGGGACTGTGCTCAAGAGATAATAATGCCTCTGAGTATTAATAGATCAGTGATTCTCTGCATCATTGGTGGGAAGATGACGTGCCCATGTCTTTCTCCCTCCACCCCTCACCTCCCTCTGTAGGGTCAGTGTTATGGACATGGTTCATTCACCTTCCATGTGAGCAAATAAACATCCATGTGTGGAAGCTATTCTTGGCCACATACCCAAAGGGCAAATTTTAGCCCTTAGATTGTAAACTTTTTGGGGAAGGCACCTTGTCTTTTATTTGTGTGGCCGGTGCCATGCACTCCTATAGTTCTGCAGAAATGATTAATATTACTAATGATTGCATTGTTATGTACGAACACAGCGAAAATGAAGTAGTGCTGCAGCATATGTGGCAAAGCCAATGTATTGCAATGGAGATTTCAGCAAATACAGCCCAGCAACTCATTCAAACAACCTCTAGGCGGGTATGTGTTAAAATTCCTCACTTCAGAACACTACTCACGTAATTGCAGATCTATATCAAAGCCTGATTAATCAGATATTCTTCACCCATGATTGCAAGACAACATCCTTTAGACAGAAAAGCATAACAAATACATGAGGGGTGAAATCAACTCTGCCTGCACAAATCCTGACTAATCATGCTCTATGTGGTGGAGGCTAGGGGGGTTGGAGAGGTGGGAAAGAGCTGCTGAAGCCCAGCAAGTTACATGGGATTTTGGGGCCACACGACCACCACTCAACCCCTCTTGGCTTTCCATGATAGTCTCACATAGGATTGTCAGGAGACCCAAGCAGTGATGTGTAGGAGATGCACAACTCTGAGAAAGAAAATAAAGGAAGAAATAGTCAATATGTCTTGGATGTAGAAAAGTACCATTATCTACATCATGAACAAAACCTCAGCCGTGATAAATATGCCCCACGCTTATCACTGATTGTGAGCTTCGTGGTCCGAAGGGCAGAGAAAATCCTATAGGTATGAAATGTTTGCCCATGAATAGGAAAGCAATGGTGCCCCCTTGTGTAAAAATGACATTTAGCAGCCGCCCAGACAGTCCACCAGCCCCCATGGAATTAAATACTAAACCCAAGAGTGCCTCTAATCACAAAATAATACACTTAATGGTTGTGAGAAAGCCTAAAAGCACTGACAGTGCAGTCATGATTGGTGACTACAACTGTGGCTAGGAACTCCTTTTCCTCTCCTGAGTTGGGCAATTTGTCACTGAACTGTGACTGGTGGATATTTCCTTTCGAAGATGCGACACCACTCAAATGTACAACCAATTAAAATGTTTTGCTATTCAGGCCTTTGATCTTCTGTCTCACTCATGATTCTTCTTATAGAAACATTGGGGTGAAATCCAGGCTCCATTGAAGTCTCCACAAAATTTTCCATTGACTTCAGTAGGCCCAGGATTTCACCTTTGGATTTTTTTGGCCATGTTTGTGATCTTCTTTAATGCCACATGGCCAGTTGGATTTATATATATATGTATTTTTAACATTCACAGCTGGTATTTTTAACAGTTTCTGCCGTGATGCTCCTGCCTCTTTATCTTCTACCGTATTGAAAAACATGAAACTCTCAACAGCGATGAAGTGTGTACAGGGAAGCCAATGCTCTCTTCACTTAAGCATTAAAGCGACCCTGAATCTTGATGGTAGGCCTGCAGATTTGTTACTAAACCATTTTTGGGTTTGTTTTGCTGTTTGTTTATGGTCCTTCAGCCAGATTTTGTTCCATATTGCAGTGTTCATATCCAAGCTGAGTTGAATTAACTATATCAGTAAGATTTTATGAGACAGCGTATTTACTGCTTTACTAAAATCCAAAAGTGAAATCTTGGCCCTATGGAAGTCAATGGTAATTTTGCCATTGACTTCATTGGAACAAGGATTGCACCCAAAGTATATTACAATTAATGCTTTCCCTTCTTCCACTAAAGCAGGGATTGCGTCAGAGAAATCTGCTGGCGGGCCGGGATGGTTTGTTTACCTGCAGCATCCGCAGGTTCGGCTGATCGCAGCTGCCACTGGCTGTGGTTTGCCGTTCCAGGCCAATGGGGGCTGTGGGAAGCGGCGGCCAGCACATCCCTTGGCCCGCGACACTTCCCGCCGCCCCCATTGGCCTGCAGCTATAATATTAGGGCCTAAAGTTGTAATTCTGTCTAAAAATAAAATAAGAGTAATCAAGCTTTTTGGCATGAGCTATTCTTTGTAAGCCCTTGCTGTTCATGTGGACAATTCTCTGACCTTCTATATGTTTCATGATTTTTTTCTCTCATGACTTGCTCCTTTATTTCCCCATGGATAAGGATGCATTCCAACCAGAACATTGGTCCAAGCCCTCTGAGCTTTGGAGTGGTGTGCATTCAGATCCAGATATGGACCCTGACCTTACAAAGACTTATTCACATGCTTAACTTTGCAAACTGTGAGTCGCCTGATTAAAGTCAAGTGTGTAAATTTAAGCACCTCTGTAACTTTCCAGAGTCAAGACCTTGGATTTGAATTCTGTGGCCCAGGCCTTTTTGTGCTAGGGATGGGAGTTAAACGTATGGGATAGTAATTGCCAGGATCACTCTTCTTTACTTTTTTGAAGTAAATTTACTTTCTCCAGTCCTCCAAGACAATACTGCCCTATTTTTACGACTATTAAAATAATTGTCAATGATGTATTAATTTGCTAATTCTCTTAATATTCCAGGCTGTATATTGTCAAGTCTGGCAGATTCATATATGTTATTTTTTTTAGTATTCCCTAACCTATTCTTTATCACTAGCTATTCTGATAAGTTTTTCCTCAGTTCATAGTTGCTGAGATGTCTTTTCTTTATTTTTCTTAGTGAAGCAGGTATAAAAAAGGAATTCAGTATCATAGCTATTTTGAGGTATCATTAATCTAATTCCCCTCCTCTTTTATTAATGCATTTATTTAGGTACGACTCCTGAAAAATCTTGTGATTAACTTAAAGTTAATGGGACTACTCATGTGCTTAAGGTTAAGCATGTGCATAAAGGTTTGCAGGATCAGTGCTTTAATCCCTAGCAATTGTTACCCCCTATGAAAATAAGGACATATATATGTATGACCTTATTTTGACATTCAGATAAAGCTCTGTATCTTGCAAATGGAAGGAAACCCTATGAATGCACTGCAAGTTTTGTAGTTTAGTTTTTGTTTTGGTAAGATGTTGAAGCATCAGCCTTTTAAAACATATTTAAAAATTAATTTCAGAAAATATTCGTGGTCTGGAAATCTGTTCTCTCTCAGCGGAGATGCAGCACTCTCAGTGTGTGAATGTGAGATTTTCTAGAAAAACAAGCAACAAGCTTCTTGGAAGGAAGGTAGGCTCCCTCTTTTTGATTTGCTTAGCATAAAAATATTGTGAGCCTTTGGAGGAAAAAAAACCAAGAATACATTCAATGCCTCTCTTTTCTTCATCCCACAATTGACTTTGCCAAACTGTGTACATGATGATTATACTTCTATGACGTTACCTTAAAAACTACTGACTGGAGAGTATGACTCAAATTGCAACACTTTTTATAACATATAGACTCCCTTCTTTACCACCTTTAATAATTGCTTCATTTATCATTTTGCAAGAGGTAGTGTGCTTTACAGAGGCTGGTTTTCAAACCAGCCTCAACACGAGCTTTCATTTTGTGCCAGTGCGTGCCATTTTGAACCTGCAATTGCTTATGGAACACGTCACTTAGACATCTAAGTATGTGTGTATTAGTTATTTACCTTAAAATGGTCAGGTGGTATCAATTTTAACTGCAAAATAAATTGCAGGGCCAGACTGAATCCAGAAGTAGTATCTTTGAAAAATCTGACCTACTATGTGGAAAATAAGATGATTTTTTTATTTTAATGACTGGTAGCTTATAGCTTTTTATTAATATCACAAACATGTTCTTTCTTGTGCATGTGTATATGCTGTGAAAGGACCATATTGCCTCATGATAAGTGAAATGAGGTCTCTTTCATCAAAATAGTGTTTCGCTTCTCTCACTGTAATATTATCCACTGATCAAACACGCCTTAGTGCAGCATTCAGTTGGCCAGGAACTGCCTATAACATTGAAATTGAGGTAAATTTTCTGTCACTTCCCAACAGCTTTTCTTGGCTTACATCCAGTAAATAGAACTGGAGACCTCAATTGATCCTTACTTCCCTCAATTCCATGCCACAGACTGAAAATGAATAACTCCTGGATGAAATTAATGTAATTATTGTAATTTTTTACCTCTAATACACATGTAAGAGAGTCTGAAATCTGAGAAACTACTAATGACCTTTTAGAGGCCTCTGAAGGAAAGGTCAGATTTCACACTACAATTTGTTCTGCCAGCAATGACTTAACCAGATGTATGTATCCAATGTCAAAATCTAGCTCAGTTTGGATCAGAAATTATGACACTCTTGGAAATCTCTTCTGAAAATAATGTCTGGGTTTTTTTTTACATTATTCTCAATCATATGATCTCTAAGAACGTATAGTGTTGTTGTAAACAGAAGCCAGTTTGAACAAAAGTGACTCATTGCTTAGACCTGTGATATCGTGTATCATATATGTTCTGGAAGTTATGAAAAAACTTGATTTTAAATGCATGTTTTAAACAGGTGCATGTGCAGTTTAATTGCTTTGAAGTCAATGTAGCACAACACATCTATGTGACCATGAAAACAATACCAAATTACTGTGAAGTCAAGTTGAGTCAGGAGTACTATGTTGAAGGTAGGAAATGATCTTTAAAGTGACGTTTCAGAAAATAACACTTATATAACTTATACCAGATCTTCCGCTGGTACAAATCTGCCTAGTCCCATCTGAGTCAGTGTGCCTGGGATGATTTACACCAGCTGAGCATCCATTCAGCCCTATATTTTAATGATTTTGTTAGGTGTGCACAAAATGGAGTCTCAAGGTTCACACACAAAAGTGTGTTTGCAAAACTGCAACCACAAAAGTATCTGCAAGAACTGCAGTTGTGCTAGTTAAATTGTCTTTGAATGTTAGGGTGACCAGATGTCCTGATTTTATAGGGACAGTCCTGATTTTTGGAGCTTTTTCTTATATAGGCTCCTCTTACCCCCAACCCCAGTCCCGATTTTTCACACTTGCTGTCTGGTCACCCTACTGAATGTGCAGTTACCCTATTTCATGTTCAGTCCTGAGGGGGCTGTTACACAACTGCTCTGCTCCTTGACCTGGGGCTCTGGTACCTTTTGAAAGTTTGGCTCAAAGAGTAATTTTTAACATTAGATGTAAACAGTTTATTAAAAAATATATTCAAAGATTAGAATAAGCCCTTTTGGGAGATTGTACGTAGAAATTCAGAAGAAATGCACAGGGCTTTCTAGGGAAGCTTTTTGTTTTCAATTAATGTTCTGATCTACTACTTGTTTCTGTATATACAGGTATGATAGTAATAGTTCCAAACTATTTAAAGCACAGTGCATGCTACTTGTCTATAAAACTGGTCAGATGACATTTCACAGATTTTATTATATCCTGTTATGTGTTGCCATAAATTAGGTCTGTCAATTAATCGCAGTTAACTCATGCGATTAACTCAAAAAAATTAATCGCTATTAAAAATACTAATCACGATTAATCGCAGTTTTAATCGCACTCTTAAACAAAAGAATACCAATTGAAATTTATTAACTATTTTGGATGTTTTTCTACATTTTCAAATATATGGATTTAAATTACAACACAGAATACAAAATGTACACTGCTCACTTTATATTATTTTTATTACAAATATTTGCACTGTAAAAATGATAAAAAAATAGTATTTTTCAATTCAAGTAGAAGTACCTCATACAAGTACCATAATGCAATCTCTTTATCTGAACATGCAATTTACAAATCTAGATTTTTTTTGTTACATAACTGCACTCAAAAACAAAACAATGTAAAACTTTAGAGCCTACAGTCCACTCAGTCCTACTTCTTATTCAGGCAATCGCTAAGACAAACAAGTTAGTTTACATTTACGGGAGATAATGCTGCGGCGTCTTACTTACAATATCACCTGAAAGTGAGAACAGGTGTTCACATGGCACTTTTGTATCCAGCATTGCAAGGAATTTATGTGCCAGATATGCTACACATTTGTATGCCCCTTCATGCCTTCAGCTACCATTCCAGAGGATATGCTTCTATGCTGATGACACGTGTTAAAAAAACAATGCGTTGACTGAACACCTTGGGGGAGAATAGTATGTCTCCTGCTCTGTGTTTTACCAGCATTCTGCCATGTATTTTATATTAGAGCAGTCTCGGATGATGACCCAGCACACGTTGTTCGTTTTAAGAACACTTTCACTGCAGATTTGACAAAATGCAAAGAAGGTACCAATGTGAGATTTCTAAAGATAGCTACAGTACTTGCATGAGGTGAATTGAAAAATACTATTTCTTTTGTTTTTTACAACACAAATATTTGTAATAAAAATAAATATAAAGTGAGCATTGTACACTTTGTATTCTGTGTTGTAATTGAAATCAATATATTTGAAAATGTAGAAAACATCCAAAATATTTAAATAAATGGTATTCTATTATGGTTTATCAGTGCGATTAATCGTGCTATTAATCACAATTAATTTTTTTTAATCGCTTGACAGCTCTACCATATATATAAAACCTTGGGGTGTTTAGCAAACATTTCAATTTCATGTTACATTACCTCACTTTTTATTGCATGAGAAATATAGTGTGTGAACATAAATGAAAAACAGTTATTAGATAGCCCTATTTGATACAACATTACATGGAAGAAGGAACAAAGATATACACTGGAAAATTGCTCCTGGCATTGTATGAGAAAAAGAAAGCAAAAGACTTCTCCAGTTTTGATTTAGCCAAAAAAGCTAAGTCTAGGAAGCAACCTTGGAGATGTATAAAGCTAGCTAAGTGCATGTTTAAATCAATCCTTAAGACTCTAATTTCTGACCGCATATTATCTGCCAGGGTCTAAACTGACCTTTATGTCGGGCAAACTACCTAGGAAATAAATAATGTATTTCTTATAACAATAAGCCTAAGAGGAAATCAGCATGAAAAATGTTCACAAATATTTACATTAGACAAATTATGTTGGGAAACTATTGGTGTTTTTTTCAAGGGAGGAATGACTTACATTAATTGCAGGTAACAATGGATAAAAAAATGTGGTGTAATAGCCCAGACTGCAAATTTGTTTAAGGTTCTCATGAACATTTGTAGTGAGAAAAGGCCAAAACTGGCAAGATAACTTCCTTAATACTAGTGTGAAGTGATCAGTGGGTGAGAAGGAAGGAAGCACTTTCTGTGTGCCATTATCTTTTATGACTTTGTACTGGACATACACGTTCTTCCTTCAAAAACAAACAAACCAACGAACAGAACAAGGAGATGAGCCTCAAGTGCATTAGAGCAATTTCCTTTTAGGAGGTGCGCAGAACTATGGTGATGAAAGACATAAAATACCCAGATAGAGAGGCTTCTTGTAGATGTATAGTTATCTCAGCACTGCTGAAAACTCTTGTTCTATATTTTGCAGATTGCAGGAACAATGATGTGGGAAAACATATTCCAGTCTGTTTTGGTGAGCTGAGCATCATTGGACATGCATCACATTGTCATTGTGCTTGTACAGTTGCATACAGTCAAGCAATGCAAGATGGATAAATATTTTACTGCTGCCAAGTATTCCAATGGACCATTCCCTGTTATATTTCTATACTTGTATATCTATAATATCTTCTGCATTTCCAACTGTTATCAACAAAAGTTATAGAACTGGTAGAGCATGGGGTATTCTGCCAAATGTAAGGGTTTGGGAATATTGATTTGGAAACCGTAGATAGATAAAAAAGTGGGGTTAACACTTTAATATTAAATCTTACACACTCTGTCATTCTCACACACACAGGTTTGGCCTCCAGGTATACACTCAGAGACCTCTGCTGCAGCCTTTAACCAGCATGGGAGTATTCCTACTGACATCAGTTACATTTATAGTGACTATTGCTGAAGTACGCACATGTGTACGGACTACAGGAAAGGTCCCTTTCTACTTAAAGGGATATAGCCAATTTAAAAAAAAACATGCTGAATATTTTTCTACCTGTTATTGTTACAAGTAACACTTAGGATGGTTATAACTGGAAGAGATTAGGGAAAAACCCAGCATTTTCTGTGATTTTTCAGTTTGAACATTTGACAGAACTTTGTATACAGCTAGGTTCACAATTTCCTCTATATTGTCAATTAGTCAATTTCTCCTGTTATTGGGGTGGATCTTTCACACAGCAACAGGGGAAAGAAAGACATTTTTAAAATGAGCACCCGCAACTCCCTGTAAAGTCTTATGGTAGATCCACATGGCAAGGGATCTCTTGCATGTTTATCTACCACAGTTAGTATATTAAATTGTCCTATACTTTCAGTGTGGTTAATGCATGTTTATAAAATAATTATTTCCCCCATGGCATAACCCTGTGTCAAGTGCTATATGATCATGTAAACAAAGAACTTACCATATAATGCCATTACCAACGAAAAGGGGGGGCAAGAGTTTAGCATATGCTTGCTCCTTAAAGGGCAATGGAAAGTTAGTCATATGTGCACAGTGAATAAAGTTGAATGAAAACCACATGTGCCAACAATGCCCATTTGCTTCAAAGTGTAACTTTATAGAGAGAGAGCTTAAAGGGGCAGAGTCAAGGCTGATAGGCTTAAAAAACACCCTACTGAGGGTAGACCTGCTTTTAAATTTTTATCCTTTGAAGTGTGTCTATTCATTTCCACCTCCGTAGCCCTCCACCACCCACCATCACCAAAAACTGCATGTCCTTCCTTCTCACTATTTTCAATAGGTGGTCAGCGTCTTGTAGAATATGTGGTGGATAGTGTGGAGTTTATCAATGCCATTCCTCAAATGAATGAATGGACACAAATGATTGGAAGACCAAAGCTACAACTTTATGCTGAACAATGTAACACAATTAATAATGAAAAGCAGCAGGCAGGATGTCCTTGTTAAATTCCAATATAACTGGTTCCTGATGCAACAGCAAAGTCCCTATGCCCCGACTATAGCTAAGCGAAATTTGGAATGTCTGTCCATCCAGAAAGCCTGACATGTCAACATTTGGTTTTGTCCTTGTGACAAAAAGTAGAAATTTTGAAATTTTTTGCAGAACAGAAATTCTGAAAAATTGTGATCTGTAACAAATTGTGAAAGTATCAAAACTGTTTCATTCTGACATTTTTGATCAAAAGAAAACATTTTTGACATTCCCCAAATTGAAATGTTTTGTTTTAGTTTATTGAACTGAAGAAGCACATAGTGGCGCATTGCCTTATGGCAGTTGTTGTTTGGGAGCCTGGTGCCCCATTCTTTCCTATAGGCTAGGTTCCCTGGCCATCCCTCCCATGATCACCTAGAGTCATGTGACTCCTCTGATGTACCAGGCAGCTCAGTCAGAGGGAAATCTGCATTGCATTATGGGAGATGAAATCCTCTGGGGAGCCCAGCCCATCAGAGAGATAGCGATCAGAAATATAACTCTCATAAGGCAGTGTGCTGATAGGGAAATGTAGTTCAATGTTTTGTTGAACTGATTTGAAACTAAAAATGTTTCAGATCAGTTCAACAAAACAAAATATTCTGATTTGGGTCAAACTGACCCAAATAAAAATATTTCATTTATATTTTCCTGACAATTTTTTTTAATTAAAATTTTCTCATGGGAAAATTTGGATTTTGTGAAAACTGCATTTTTCTGTTACCTAATTTTTCTAATGGAAAATTCCCAACCTGCTCTAGTGCCAACTACAGGCTGCAAAGGTTCTACAGAGGAATCTAAGCCCTATTTCAGTTGATTGTTTGGTTCCTTAGATGATAGTACAGTCTGTAACACATTCTAGTGCCAGAACTGAGCCATTGTGCAAAATCATCATCCCACAAGCCATGTAGCAGACTGATACTGCTACAACAAATATTTCTTTTCTCAATGGAATGTGCAGCTTTGACAAAGACCACAAGGGGTATACTTAGGAGTTAGTCAAAGAAAATTTTAGACTGAGTATCCGGAAAAAGTTCATTGTGCCGCCACTCTGCTCACTATGCTCCCACTCATATGCTAATATTCGCAAATATACATTAAAAAAAACAGACTTCTGTGCCTCTTGGACCATAGTTGCAAGGGCAGGGAAGATTTCTAGTTAGACCACCATAGAAGACCACACAACTAGACTGAAATTAATCTTCCCAACAGCCAGCTCTCCTGTCCTGTGGAGGTTTGGCAATAAAAGATTTTGTTCCGAGAGTCAAACATGTTTTTGGCCTAAGATAAAGCTGCACGTCTTTTTTAAAATTAATATTTTCTAGCCACATAATCAGTTTCAGGAGAGATAGGCAGGGGGAACAACACATGACTAGATTCTTCAAGTTCTAGAATTTACAGATGGAAATGCTGTTAAGGTACAGTTAACTGCTATCTTGGCCTGATAACTGTTAATGTCAGTTAAAAAAATTAAACTGGATAGCTCTGAACTTCAATCTCATGAAAATCATTAAGTAGCATAAAAGAAGAGGATATTTATGTGGACCTAAATATATATTGAATGAATATGTATCAATATGAGGGGGAATACTCATACAAAAAATCAGTGTTGATTGACAACGTAACTAGGAACTGATGTATAATAACTTAATGTGTTTATTTTTTCTTATCTCAGCTGGGAAGTTGGATTATAATGTGGACAGGGCGAGGAAAACCATATCTGTGAATGTATCAGACTTTCTTCAAGACCAAGACTATTATGTTCGTTTATGTCACAAATGGTTTACCTGTGAAGACGTGGGGTCATTTGCTTTGGTGAGTAAGAATTTATTACAGGCTGGGGCTATTTTCTTCTTGAATTTAGTGGGACTACTCACATGAGTAATGTTGCTCATATGTATGTATTTGTACGATCTGGCCTAATATTTTTATATGTAGTTTCATTGAAAGCCAGCTACTGGATAGAATTACTGGACTCACCATTTTCTATTTAATTTCAGATAAAAGGGAAGGAGTCTTTGAAGTCAACTTCCTTGCAATATTCCCAGTTACTGCCTTGTCTCTGCATTGAGGTAAAATATTTTGATAACCTTCAGCATCTATCCCAGCCTTAAATAAAGGAGATCACTAAAAGTGCATCATTCCTGCCAATCTCTTTACAGCAAATTCTGTAGTATGAATGGCCAGATTCTGAGCCATGATAAGCAAATCAATGAGAGTTGTGGGTGCTTAGCAACTGTGGCTATTGGAGTCTATGTCTCTGAGCCTGCAGACACTTATATTCATAGATTCCAAGGCCAGAAAGGACTACTGAGATCATCTCATCTGACCTCCTGTATAACACAGGCCAGAAAACTTTCCCCAAATAACTCCTATAGCAAATATTTTAGAAAAAACATCCGATCTTAATTGCAAGTGCTGAAGAATCCGTCACTACTCTTGGTAAATTGGCCAGTGGTTAATTATCCTCATGTTAAAAATATGTGCCTTATTCCCAGTCTGCAATTGTATAGTTTCAACTTGCACACATGCTTAAATAATGAAGCCAGTGGGACTACTCACATGCATATGTGTTTGCAGGATCAGGATATAAGTGTTCAATTGGTTACCAGCAAAAAGGTCTAGGGTCTATCCTAAACTCATTGAAGCCAAACACCCATTGACTTCAACTTGAGTAGGTTTGGGGCCCAAAATGTATAAATCAACAGTGTTACATATTAGAAATGATATTGTGTCATTTCAGGAATTTAAAAGAGTTTGCCACTAATAAAACTTAAATTGGAATGTCAAGTAAATGAAATGAAAATCAAACATAAACATTCGATTATGGAAAATCTGGAAGAAAACCAGAATAATCCAACAGCTGTTGTGACACATCTCTGTGGCTGGATTGTTTGGATGTGTTCTGACTTTGAATATGTGGGTTGAACTGCCTCAAAAATAGCAGATTTGAGAATATAATTGACTAGCTAATGGCAATTCTTTGGGTTGCAGGGTTGGTCGGCGATCCCAGATGCAAGGAGGACACAACTTTGCCCTTTTAAAAATGGCAAGTAGATTGTAACTATTGCGTGGCTGAGTATTTATTAGTCAGTTCCTGACATGTACCATCTCCTTAAATGTGCTTGTATATAAAATGACACTGCTTGGATTGCTGCATTTTAAGAAGGGACAGTTTTTATTTGTAATACAGAAAATAATTCTTAAAATGAGGTATTACTATGTATATTTTTCATCAGATTTTTTTCTAATATGCCAAATTGTACTCTCAGTTTACACCAATATAAATGCTAGGTAACTCTATTGATATCAAATGGTGTAAATGGGAGCAGAAATTGGCCCTATTAGTATAATTTTTGTTTCTTAATTCAAGCACAAGGAGACCAGAATGAAACAACAGCTTGGAGCTCAGCTTTGGGAAGGGTTCATGAAGAAAGTAGACTTTAAGGAAGTATTTGAAGGCAGGGGTCTGGCAGACAAGAAGGAGGAGGCTGTTGCCAAAGGAAAAGGGTGGATAAAGGAAGGGGAAGAACTGAGTGTGGGAGTGGTTAATAGGGAGGATCAGAGGAAACCTTAGTGGTAGTAGGAGATGACATGAAGGAAAGCGTGTAGAGGTTTAAAGGTTAGAGTAAGGAGCTTGAATCTGGTGCATTAATAAATAGGAAGCCGATAATAAATGTAAGATTATTTGCAGACTGTGAGCCTGATTACAAACCTCTTCCTTGGGTGAGCAGTTACTCACACAGGTAGTTCCATTGAAGTCACAATCTGGCTTGGGGGAGTGGTAACAACTGAAAGTGAAATAGGTTTTCAGTGTTTTGTGTGGTGAAGGGTTTCTGTCCTGCAGGAAAATTCTCATACTTCAACATATGCTTTTATCTCAAACCAGGACAAAAAGTCAGAATACACAAACTCTTGGCAGAACAAATAGTTGATTAGGAAATATCAAAATGTTTTGTTCTAAGTCAATTCAGCATTAAACTGTGTGCACCTCAGCCACTGCTGCACCTCATGGGAAGTTGTAGTTTGGGTACCACATGCCCCCATTCTCCCCTATAGGCTGGGCTTCTCAACCAAACTACATCTCCAGTGATGCTGGGTAGTACTTGTGTTCACCTTTTTGTGAACATTCAAATGACTTAGTTTTACTGGTGCACCTTACCTGCAGAAAAGTAATTTCCTTTTATTATTAGGTATTAGACAAATCCGAATTTCCAAATTGCTTGCATGAGTATTTGCAGAATTACAATTTTAAATCTGCATGCTGGAAATTCTTCCACATTCATCCAAACAGGGAACAAAACCAATCACAATTAATTAAGACAGCTCCAGTTTTCAACAGTGAGTATTCAGTACATCGTTTGCAAACCATAAAATACAGAAAAAAACCTCAAAACCAAAAAATAAGTTGAATAAATCTGTGAAATTGCAGTCCGCTTGTGATGTTCGGGGAAGAGAAAAAGAAGCTAATTATGCAGATCGGTTTACTTGTGAGAATTATTCACTTAGTTCTAATAATTATTCAGAACCCTAGAACTCCACCTCCTAGTTTGAGTTTATTTGCTCTCTCTATATAGTGAGTCTAATTTGCCACTACCATGCCCTCTCGCATAGTCTCTTACAGTTACAAAGTCAGTGAAAAATGCTACCATTCTGATTGAGCCAAGGTTGCATGGATGGAAATGATTACCCAAGAGGCCGGGGAATAGAGAATCTGGCCCTTAGGTTTTATTTTAAGTGCTGATGCATGAATCTTTGGTTTCAGTATCAATTAGATTAATTTCATTAACCTCAAATAATGTTTCTACTGTTTGTGCATAGATACAAAGGCACTGTGGGATAACATTGTATATAATCCAGCCACACAAACACTAGCCTGGGAACCAGCCTGTCCTGTGCACGTCACTGTTAACCTGTGCAGGTTAACAAAGTCGAATGACCAATGTGTAGATCTACAAAACTCATCAACTACAGCTCCAGAGAAAGTAAGCTTTATATAGTATCTTTAGGACTGTAAGACTAAGGGTAATATCCTAAATCCAATGCGTAACATAAGTAGCTAGGATATGGAATAAGGGCAGTTGCAAATACTTGGTTTTGTTCTATCCTATCTACACAGGTTCTTATACACCACACAGCTTGTTATTGTATAATAACAGCATAATAACAGAGAACTGAATACATGCTGTTGATAAAATGGTTCATGGTAGAAATTCTTGTGAACCTAGAATTTTTTGCTAAAAGAACAAGTTTTTTGTTTCCTAAAATAACTGTGGCTTGATTTTCATGTACAGTAAAGCCCCTTTACACCACACTGGCAGTGTCATGGCACCTTAGCATTAGCGCAATTACATTTGTCCCCACTCCCAGACTGGTGTAAAGCACCTTAGTGTAAACAAGAATCAGGCTCATTGGTTTTTGTGGGTATTGAAATTGTGGGCCGCGTCAGCCTTTCTGAAAAGTTATTTTCCGAACTAAGAGATAATTTATAACACAGCAGGTGTTGCCAACTCTTGTGCTTTAATCATGAGTCTTGTGATCGTGAGTGCTTTTCCTAAAGCCCCAGATTCTGGATTCATATGGTTAGATGAGAATCTCAGCTTTCATTTTTTTTAAAAAGTAAGGTTCTATCTCTGATGGTTGTGGAGAAAAGCTTGAAAATGTGACACCCAAAGACTGTAACACCAGAAGGCAAATAAAAAGAACTGCAAATTCTTAATTTTTAAAAGTCTCCTAATTGTTAAGCTAATTGTATGATTATTTGGGGACCAATTCATGATTTTTTAATATTTGGAGTTGGCAATACTGAAACTGGAAGGCTGAAAGGATTTGAACTCCTGGCCAGGTGGTTAGTGACTACTCAGCCTTTACCATTGTCCTGATGTCAAGCTTTTAATAAAGCCCTGATCCACAAACACATGCATGCTTAATGTCACACATGTCAGTAGTCCAAGTGGGACTTCTTGTGTGCTTACAACTAAGTACATGCATACGTCTTTGCAGAATCAAGGCCTAAGTTTGCTATTCTTGATAATTGTCATGTAAAATTACCCAGCATTCAAACAGACAATGGATTTGCCACCAGAAGATGAATACTAAAATAAAAATGCCCTTGTGAATTTTGTATTTTCACTTAACTCTTTTCCCATTGTTGCTATTGGGCTAATTTTAATGTTCAAATGCAGGGTTCATTTCCCCCCTTTTTTCCTTTCTCTTTTCTTTATAAAGGGATTTGAGCTGAGTTGTGGACATGGTCTGAGTATAGAAGTGCAGCCAATGACATTCTTCACATTGTCCTCGAACTGTCTACAGCATAGAAACCAAACTTGGGTCATAAACTGCAAGCCAAGGGGGAGGGATAGCTCAGTGGTTTGAGCATTGGCCTGCTAAACCCAGGGTTGTGAGCTCAATCCTTGAGGGAGCCACTTGGGGGTCTGGGGCAAAATCAGTACTTGGTCCTGCTAGTGAAGGCAGGGGGCTGGACTCAATGACCTTTTAAGGTCCCTTCCAGTTCTAGGAGATGGGATATCTCCATTAGTATTATTATTATTATGTTACTTGGGCACAAAACCCTTACTACATGAGCACTTCCATTGGTTTCAATAGGATTACTCACATGAGTAAGGATCACTCACTCACTTGAATGAGTCTTTGAAGGATGTGGCCCTTGAAAAATAACTGAGGCCCTGATTCAGAAAAGTATCTCTTTTCTGGAAGGGCACTTAAGCACATGCTGAACTTTAATCATATGCTGAAGTCCTAATTGAAGTCAGTGGGACTTCATCACATGCTTGAAGTTCAACAGATGATTATGTGCTTTCTTGAATGAGGATGGGCTTAAACACAGGATCCATACAGAAGAGCATTTAAACATGTGCGTAAGTGTTTTGCTGAATAGGGATGGCCTGCTGAATCAAGGCCTGAAACAACAAGAGCTGTGTAATCGGTTTGTTATTGAATTAAAGAAAGCAAGTCATTACCAAATCAGTTAGGTTTAGATTTAATTGGTCATATTCTCCTGTTGTTTGCACCAATCTCCCATTGACATCATAGGGAGTCCTGTTTAATTATGAGGGTAGAGTATGACCATAGTATAAAACATACTATAAAAATTAACTACATTTCACTTCAAAATTAATTAATTGTTTGTAATGTGTTTTGAAAATGAGAAGTGCTAACCATGTGCTAGGTATTACCAGATTAAATCCTGGTACCTTTATTCAGTGAAAACTCCTATTGAAGGTAGTGATTGGCCCATTATAATTATTAAATTACTTTATGTGATTAACTGATTGACACATTTTAAAAAAATAAAACACCTTCAGGTCCTTTTCTAATGCATCAATTGTACAAGTGGTTTGTTCTTTATGTTGATACTGGTTCGTAAACCTGACTAATTCTGTGCACTCTCTTTTCAAGCAGGTAAAATATTCCCGCGTAGACACTCATCCAAGACTTTGCATGAAGGTAAATTGCTTTTTTTTGTAGATTAACCATTTACACCATTCCTCCTCATTGTGCAGGTATCAACTACAAAAGATGCATCACTAATAATCTTTTAGAAGGATACTCTTTACCTTATAACCCATGAAAAGACAAAGGAATAAGAAATATTAGAATATTAGAAATATTTAGAAATATTTAAAATCTAATATTAGAAATATTAGAATAGGAGGATGTGTTATGGAAGTCAATAAAAATGTCAGATATGAAAAATGGCTCATATGGGACCATATTGTGGCATCAATTTTTTTATTTTAATGCGCTTTAAAGCTGATGGCATAACATGGCTAATAGAGATGTGCTTTCACAATATGGCAAATTTGAGAATGAGAAGACATAGATAAAAAACAATGTATATTACCATTCATTTGCTCTGTTTTCCTTGCTGCTAAGGAGAAGGACTTCAGTACCTATTCCTGCCACCAAAACTGAAAATAAAATTCAGGGCCTGATTCTCCATTGCCTTGTGTAGTCATGGACACCTGGGCAAAGTGGGTGTGCAGCTCTGTGCTTTTGTTTGGGTAGTATTTTACACAGACTTTGCACAGATGTAAATCGCTAGGCAAGGTGGAAGGCAGTGGAAAATCAGGCATACAGAATTCAAGACTCATCTCATTCATGCTGGTGCAAATTGGCAGTAACTCTGTAGGAATCAGTGGAGATACACCAATATCAAAGTAATGGAAGTGAGGTCAGAATCAGGCCCTCAAAGCCAGTATTCCAAGTGTTCAACTGCAGATGAGAGAAATAGCCCTTGAGACACTCAAAATACCAAAACTTCAGACTCAGTGTCTCTCCAACCCGCATAAGAATTTCATAGGAAAAGCTGAACCAAATTACATTAAATCACATGACTATTTGCCTAGTGTTCACCTGAGTCCACACCCAAGTATGGCTTTGTTGGATTCTATATCTGCACAGGAAAAGTTTACAGACCTTATCGTGGACCTGGTCTGACTTTTGAGTTTGCAGTGAAATATAAAATGAGGTGTGGTTGGATGTGTTTCCGGTATCATCACGAACATTTACCATATGCAGCTTTAATGATAGAATCATAGAATCATAGAATATCAGAGTTGGAAGGGACCTCAAGAGGTCATCTAGTCCAACCCCCTGCTCAAAGCAGGACCAATTCCCAGCTAAATCATCCCAGCCAGGGCTTTGTCAAGCCGGGCCTTAAAAACCTCCAAGGAAGGTTTATGCAGTCAAGTCACATGATTATGTGACTTGGTTTATCAAGTCACATGATTATGCAGAAGACTTGAAAATATAGTATCAAGGCCATAAAACAGAATAATAAAACTAACAGCCAATAAAAGAAATATGACTCAAGATAAAAACAAAACAATATTCATTAAGGGGAAGAAATCAGGACAGTTACTGTTCCCTAAGAGATAGCAGTGGTTACTGCACAGCTTTAAACTGACAATGCAAAAAAAGCAGAATAGAACATTTTATGCCCTCATGCTGCAAGCACTTAAGCATGTGCTTATCTTTATGCACTTGAGTAATGGTAAATTCTTTGAATATTTGTGTTATGCATCCCTGGACCAAATCGTGCTGCTGTTATTCAGGCAAAATAGCCAATAAAGTAAGTTTTTGGCTCATTATTATTATTTTTAAAATGCTTTTAAGCAACTGATTTTTTTGTCAGTGGGACTGCATAGCAATGTAAAGTTAAACACGTGCATAAATGTTTGCAGAATTAGGGCCTTTGTGAGTATCAGAGCTTGGAGCATAACATGGGAGGTAAGCTGTGAATAATTCTTTTGCTGCTTTCTGGAATTCAGTGAACTTGTGCCTACAGATCCAGCTAAAGCCAGTCAAACTGCAAAATTCTCTTCTAACAGCTTTCTTTATTTTCAGTTTACAACCAAGCAAGGCTCTTGGGTTAGATGCCCATTTGCTCGTGGGAATTTCCCAGGTAAATAACTTATTTTATTAAATTAAAATGACAAATTAATAATTATATTAAATTAAATTAACCACTAGACTACAACCTCTCTCATCGAGTAAAACTTTTTGGTCTTGTTATATCCTCTGAATTGCATCAATAATATTTAACAGTGCAGGTTTTCCATTTGTAAACTCTCACAGTAAATCAAGTATTTGTAAAGATAGATAATAACCTGTTAAAATCAAGATAGCTATTGATATAACAGTTGACGGTATTCAAGCTGATAAAAATGGTTTTATTTTAGCACAGCATGGTAGCTAGTGCCATAGTCTCTCATACGTCATTCATTATGTGAGTGATTACATTTAAAAATAACAGCCTTTCTCCCCACTTTCAGCTTGGAAAATGAGAATTGCTGCTGGGGCAGAACAGATACAAGTCTCCTTCATGTCACAAACCAAAGCACAATTTTCAGTGCTGGTGTGTAACAAGGCACAGCTGTCTTCATGTGACTCTGTTGGGATACGCCACTCAGTCTCAGCGGTTGGTATGCGTTATTGATCAGAAGTTGCTATCAATAAGGCAGCTTCGGCATGTTTAATTTGAATTTATTGCCATCCATGGCTCTGGACAAAACTAGCAAAAAGCCAGGCACACACACTTTGGAACAATATCCACAATTAAAGCATTTAGTCTTAGTTCTGATCTCACCCTGATCAGGAGTAACTCCACTGAAATTACACACCAGCGGAAGTGACTTTTGAGTGCTGGACTTTGCAATTTGAATGTTCTTTAATGTAGTTTTTTGTTGTTGTACTAGTTATAAATATGTGCACTTCATAGGCCCAATTCATTTCCACTGGTGCAGGGATGTTCCAGAGCTATACCTCCCTGTGCCAGCTTGATTTGCTGTGCTGCAGGCGGTTCACACAAGACAGGGACATACAGTGGATCTCACATCTGATCTCCCTTGAGGTTTCTGGTAGGGAGGGCAGCTTTATGCTCTGCTGGGCTTTTCGTAGGACACCTGGGGGAATAGACTGCCTTGTGGATGCAGAACCACTGTACAGTCTATCCTTGAACTCTATGGACACTGTTGGCTATTTTTTGGGAAGTGTTGGACAGTCATAGATCCCCCAGGGAAGGGGAAGTTCTTGCCCTGTTTGACACCAATGCAAGCCCTATGTGAATTTGGACATATATCTAGCTAAAGATAATGGATACCATGGGACTTTTTGAGCCTTATTTTCTAGAAGAATTAGCAAGCACTGTGGCCTGATTCTCACTTACTCTAAGACCCCTTTAAACAGTGTAAAGGAAAGTTAAAATGGACATATATTCTACCCACACCCTAGCTAAGGCCCCTTTCTCTGCCAGTTTGGTGTAAAGATGCCTTAGTGTCACTGAGAGTCATGCACTGCATGTTATACAAGTACAGTGAGAGAGAACTGTGGGATTGTCCTCAAGCCAACAATATTTGTATAGAGTTGGTTGTAACTCAGAATTTCTGTTCTGTGGGAAATTCTGACATTTTGAAAAAAGGTTTTGTTCTGATTTGGAATGAAAATGAGACATTTTGAAATTTCTTGCAGGAAGGAAATTCTGAACAGTTTCAGTGAGAAACAACATTCAGTTGTTCTGAAACAAAACTGAGCAACTGGCTGCCCCTGACTCCCTGGGCTGCCCCCGACTCCTGGGGATTCCCTGGGCTGCCCCTCACTCCTGGAATGCAGATTCTAGAAGCCATGAGCGCTCCAGCTTGAGCAGAGGACTAGACCCAAGAGTATATTTACACTGCAGCTGGCTCTACCCTGCTAGAGCCAGGGTTCCCAGGACTTCCAGGGTCCCAGCTCCGCAGCAGCTCACCAGAAAACTAGGCAGGTGTTGGCGGAAGTTCATTGAAACCAGAATGTTTCTGCGAAACATTTCGGTTTTGAAGAATCGGCATTTTCCAATGGAAAAAACATTTTGTTGGAAAATTCCTGGCTAGCTCTATTTGTTAACATGTTACACTCAGTTATTGTGGCGGCAAGCCATTGTTTATGGTTATGGAAATAATAGCTTGTGGTTAATTTATCAGCAGATATAGGGAAAATGCTCGTGGTCTTGTGACAGGCACTCCACATAGTTTGCTCATATTCCTACCAGACTAGAGCACTCAATGAGTGTTTCTAAACCTGCTCTCTATGGAATGCCTAGTTTCACATTAGTATCTGGCTATATTCAAATAGGAAAATATTCTCTTTATCAGTGAATTTTCTGTTATCTAAAGTCCATTATTTTATTATTACATTACTAAGGCACTATCTTGGTAGCTAAGCATTGATCCCGGATGCATTTGGCCATATATGTATTCATTTCTGCATTGGTATGGGGAAGCTGGTAGTGATCCCTATATTTAAATTTCCATTGTAAAGGATTCTTGCGACCATTTTTGAGAAGCTCTCATTGCCTTCCTTTCTAGCAGGCCTTTGTTATTCTGCAGGGAGAATGCCCTTGGCTAGCAAAGTGCCTCTTCCTGTCCCATGGCATTCTGATCAGCTTTTGCTGAGATTAAAAATTGCCATTTCTCCTCTCTCCATTACGTTCCTCAGGAAGGTTTTGGCAGCATATCAAAATAGTAATTATACACAAACATTCTATGGCTGGATTCATGTTGCTGCCAGCACAGCGTCAGCAGCAGACACTGTCCTGGGAGCTCATAGAGCAGATGTTCTGGCTGGGGGAGAGGAGAGAGCTGGTCTAGTCTGGGCACCCTCTTTGGGGGCAGGAATCAGGCTGGACTTGCCTGGGACCCAGAGGCCCATCTTTGCCCCTTTGGCAACCCACATAGGGCTTGAGCTCCCCCAACTCCTCAGGAGGATGGAGGAGAGAGAAGAAGAGAGTGAGACCAGGTTCCCCCAACCAGGCCCTGAACCCAGTATCTGGGCCCAGTGGCCCATCTCACCTCTGGGGCACCACATGGGGTGAAACTCCCCCAACTCCCAAGGGTGTGTGTGCATGTGTAAAGAGAACTGGCCCAAGTTCCTCCCTTCCCCTCTAACCAACCACATAACTCAGCAATCTATTCCCTCCTCTGGTATAACAGCTTTCTGTTAATGTAATTTTAGGGTTTCCTAAAGGATAAGGCAAGGTAAAAACAAATTCTATTTTAAAATTGTGGATTAAGAGAATATTATTTAGATTGCACGTGTCAAGTCAAGCACTTGAAAGTTGGGAAATATCCGATTGGCAGTTGCGTGTAACTTTAATTTATTCCCCTTGTGCGTAAGCATTTTATGACACAGTCTATAATTACATCCTGATGTACTGTTTTTTTGACATGATCCCTTACTCATTCAGTGCCCAGGATGGGAAACACAGGGGGCAGAATTAAGGTTGTGTGGACAAACATAAAGCTGGCTTTTTCTAATTTTCTGGTGTTTGACTTTGCAACCAAAACAGCGTTCTTTGAACGTATTTTTGTTGCTGTTTCTAATATAGCTACATATGCATTTGAGCTAAACAGAATAGCTGTAAAGGGAAAACAGAAGTCTGGGATTTGTAAAGCAGAAGAATAAATAAGCACTACATATAGGAGACCACTTGACTTCAGTGGGATTTTTGCCTGAATAAGGACAGCAAGATTCAGACTTACTGGTTTTAATGGCCTCCTGAGTTTAGATGACTGAAAATTCATGGGTAAGAGGAATGATTAAGTAGGATTGGATCTGAGCCAGATATTATTGTGAAACTGGACATATCACACAGAGTGCCAGTCTGTTCAGAAATATCCATTGTTTCCAAGTCCTGTGGTACAGATTGATCTGTTCTCTTTAGTGACGATACAATGGGAACTCACGTAGATTCCACATGGTTCCCACTCCAAGACTATGAGCAATTTCCATCAGGGTCTCATGATGACTTAACACTGAGCCATTGTTCCCATAAACAATTGTTCCTAGCCTCAATATTAATGTCTTCACAATAATGTTGGGTTAAGGCAACATTTACCTAAATTATCCCTGTCTTCAACAGGAGTTTTGCTGAGAAAGGAAAAGCAGTGCAGGGCCCATCGTTCCAGAGAACTAGTCATTTTCTTTTTTGTGCACAAGCCACAAATAACAATATTTTAAGCAGCAGAACAATTTTTTAGGGCAACTTTACCCTCAGGGTAATCCTGTTCTCAGAGCACAGCCTGAGTAGCTGGCTGTGGGATGGGGAGATCTGGAGCACACGGGATTCTCCCCTCTGGCCCAGCTAGGCAACGGAGTACAAGTAGAAGTCTTCGATGGCTCCTGCCATAGCCTCCCATCTTTAGCAGGCTCTATGACTGGCATTCTCCCCTTCTGGGCGTGTGGGGGAAATGGAAAGTGGATCATTACCCAGTCTCCCTTCCTGGTGCACCCTCAAATCCACCTTATGCACTTAGACACAGTACTGTGCTCCATAATGTGCTGGGATATGGGCCCTCTTCATGGGTTCCCCAAATCCTGCACCTTCTACGCAGCAGAACCAAACTGGCTGCACTGTGCTCAGGGCATTCCATACCCATGGAGGAGGGAAGTCCTTAAAAATAAAAGAGCCTTCAATAATGAAAACAATCTGCCATAAATTTTAAGGTGGTCAAATACGTAACATTACTGACAAAAAAACCAAAGAGCTGGAGGGAGACAATGCATTTTGATTGCCCAAGAACTATGAAGTTAACAGCTTTCCACTTTGTTTTCATCAGGGTGACTCTCATCCCACATCTGTCAATATTTCAGGTGAAATATGTGGCTCACAAGTTTGCATTCAGGTAGGTCTGCTGATTTGTAGACATACTATGCGCTAAATAAACAAGCTGGCGTGGAAATAAGAAACTAAGGGCAGTGTTGCAGCTGCCTCCTCCCAGCCAAATCTGGCCGTGACCCAGTTGTAGGTTACAAAGAGCATTATTAATAGTTTGAATGTGCTGCTATTGTCCCTTGCCGAGCTTGTATTCATTATTTAAGGTAGAGGACCATTCTTGATCTCTTATTTTTGTAGATGGCAAACAGTGGAATATTAAGAAGGGCTGTTAAATTAACCCCTCCATCTATATTACCTGTTATGATGGAAAGATTACAGTCAGAGGGGCGGAGGGAAGTAACAAATAAATGTATTAACATTTTCTAAAAAACAAGTCTAAGGATTTTAGTGCATTCAGGCATATGTATACAATAGTAAACAAGGAGACATACAGCATACAGCAGACGTGCACCGATACACATTTAAATGACTATTATTGAAACAGATGTACGAAAATGCCAGCATGTATCTGTACAACTGAGTTTTACTAACAGATATGTTAATAGAAAATGAATTTGAAACTCAAAGGTTTAATTCCACGTGGAAAGTGAGTGTTAAATTTGTTTTTTGTGAGTATCTGAACCAGAAACTTAAGAAATATTTTTATTATTATTGTATAGCACCCAAAAGTATGCTAGACACACTGTAAAAAAAAAAAACCCTTTTGGAAAAACAAACATCCGGAATCAGCTGGGACCGGGGGGGGGGGGGGAGGGGAGGTAGAAAGTTCTTCTGGTGCTCTGCCTCTGGCAGCTGGCCTGGAAGGCTATTGTCACTTTCTGCCTTTAGTCAGAAAGTGAAAGTGACAAGGGCCATCTAGAAAGTGAGCCAGGGAACCTTTATTTTCCATCAGACAATCATCCCAACAGAAAATTCCCTAGTAGCTGTATCTTCTATAACCCTGAAAGTGACTAAGAGTGACACAAGTACACCTCTACCCCTATATAATGCGACCCGATATAACACCAATTCGGATATAACGCAGTAAAGCAGTGCTCCCGGGGGGGCAGGGTTGCGCACTCCGGCAGATCAAAGCAAGTTTGATATAATGCGGTTTCACCTATAACGCGGTACGATTTTTTGGCTCCCGAGGACTGCGTTATGTCGGGGTAGAGGTGTATAAGCTAAACTATTAAACAGATTTTTAAAAAAACATCTGCATTCATTTCAGTAAACTAACAAGCCAATGTTTATTTTGTCAAAACAAATGATCATTAACCATATTGTTGAGAGGGAAATAACCATTTTTTCTTTCTTTTAAAAGGGCTGGAGGACAGATGTAGATTATTCTGTTCCACTACAGATCTGTGATATCCAATGCAGTAAGTACTAATAATGTGTCACATGAAAGATTGAAATAGATGAGATGGGTTTGGCAGCAGAATCAGGGTCTCCTGGGACTGACACAACAATCCCCATCCTTCTGGGCTGCAGATTTCAGGGTCAAATCCTGCTCTCTTTACCCAGTAAGTAAGAGGAAGGGTGACGTTGTGACTAAGACACGGAATTGGAGTTCAGTAAACCTTCAAGGATAAATTCCCAGCACTGCCAAAGACTTTCTGTGTGACTCTGGGCAAGTCATTTAATCCCTCTGTGACTCAGTTCCTCATTTGTACAAAGGGGATAATAGCACTTCCCTACCTCATGGAGGTGTTGCGAGGATAAATTCATTAATGGTTTGAAAAGTTCTCAGATACAATGATGGGCTCAACTGTGTGTAACTTTAAGACCTAGCAATAAGCAGTAGTGAGTTCAGATCAGGGCTCACAGGAGGGATAGCCCTGAGACTGGGATTTTGGATCTAAGGCACAAGGCACAACAGGAGACGCGCTGAACTGAGAACTCTAAGTGCAGTCAAGCTGGGAAGAAGGCTCCAATTATACTTTGTCATCTTATTGTTCAGTTGCTGTAATAAAATCATATCACAGGAAGGGGGTGAGGGTTGAGACCATACACGGCCTATGGAGTGTTAAAAGCAGATGGGAAAATCACCTGCTCATAAGACCCTTTGAAAACATAGCTTTAGATATATAATTCCTAGTGCACATTTTTGCTTATACCATAAAAACACTTCACAGTTCACTTTAAGAAGCCTGACTCTAAAAACGTTGGGGCCTGTAATTGTATTCTGGCAGCAGAGCTCTGAGGGAGTGCTTGTATGGGACTTGGTAATTCATTTTCTTTGAAAAATACAATACCACATAAAGTCAAACACTTAACCTTAGGTTTTAAGCCAATCTCTATCTATTAGAGATCAAGATGAGATCTAATGTTTCATGCAGATTATCCCACATTTGCCTACTGCAGTGTTCACATACCTTCCTCTGAAGCAATTGACACTGGCTACTTCAGAGGCAAGATACTGGACTTGATGGACAGTATGGCAGTTCCTAGTTCCAGCTATTTGTTTGGAAGCCTCAAGAAATGCACTTTGTGGTCTGCAGCAAGTGTTATGTTTTTAGTGAATAGAGTCACTATTTAGAAATTCTTTATTCTCAGATGTGCATTTTACATAACAATAAATACATTTTCCCAGCATTATCTTCCCGGAGTCAAGAAGATGATGAAAACTCCATAAGGATCATGTTGCTGACAGCAATAATTTTAATCCTGGTGACAATGATGGCTCTCCTTGGACATAAAATTTTAACAGGTACATAATCAAGGGAATGTTAATTGGAGAATCAGTCCATATTTTCTTGACAATCTGGAATATAGATTTAAAAACTAATAGACATTAATGGTATATAGTGGAAGGATAGTAAAAATCCTTCCCTAGCATCCACAATGAACTTTTTCTCATTATCCATGCCCTGACACCTCACCGGATCATTCACACTGTACTCTGGACTCCTGTCCCAGATAAAACCCTGGGAGAAGAGGCATGTTTTGCAGCATCTGCTGAGGGTCTCTAGATCTGGGCTCTGGTGAACTAAGGGAGAGGAAGTTAATGCCAAAGCTCAGGGCCTGCAATTGACAATGTCCTCTTGCTAACCCCTTTCTTCTTAAACAAGGGGACTGCTAGCTGAAGTCTCCACAATGGTCATGAGTGCCAGAGTATTGCACAGGGAGGGAGGCAGTCTCTCAAGCAGCTAGCTTAAACAAAACTTGCTCCCAAGTATGTACCAAGAAGTATATGTCTGCAAAACATCAAGTCAATTAGACTTCATTTACTCCAAGCCAGATTCTGATATCCTTAATCACCTTGAATAGTGCCTTACTCCAAGAGTTGACCCATTGATTTCAATGGTACTATTTGTGAAGCAAGATGCTAATTAGCATTTTATTATTATTTATTATGGTAGTGCCTAGGGATCAACCAATATTAGGCTCCATTGTGCTAGGCACAGTACAAATATGGTGTAATAGACAATCCCTGCCCTAAAGAACTTATAGTCTGTGCTTGTCTGCTGGGCCCAGAATCAGCGTTCCACTGTATCAACCAGCCCCACTGCCGCCATGATGTCCCAGTTGCCACAGCCCATGCTTTCAGGAATGTCTGTGTCCATGTCCTCTTCACAATTGTCCTCGTGCTGGCATCTCTTAGCCAGGTTCTGCACATACTGCAGGATAATGCGCGAGGTGTTTAATGCTCACTACAGCAGTGGTAAACTGAGTGGGCTCCATGCTTGCCATGCTATGGGCTCTGCTTGGGTAACCCAGGAAAAAAGGCGCAAAATGATTCTCTGCCGTTGCTTTCACGGAGGGAGGGAGAAAGGAAGGGAGGGAAGACTGACGACATGTACCCAAAACCACCTGCTACAATGTTTTTGCCCCATCAGGCATTGGGAGCTTAACCCAGAATTCCAATGAGCAGCGGAGACTGTGGGAACTGTGGGAAAGCTACCCACAGTGCACTGCTCCGTGAGTCGATGCTAGCCATGGTATTGAGAATGCACTCCGCCGACTTAATGCGCTTAGTGGGGACATACACAATTGACTGTATAAAATCGAACTAATTTCTTAGTGTAGACATACCCTAAGGCAATGTCTACACTTAAAAGCTTACAGCGTCACAGCTATTCCGATATGGCTGTGCTGCTGTAAGAGTGCTCGTGCAGCCACTCTATGCCGACGGGAGTGAGCTCTCCCATCAACATAATAAAACCAGCTCAACAAGTGGTGGGAGAGCGTCTCCTGCAGACATAGTGCTGTGCACACGAGCGCTTATGCCAGCAAAACTTATGTTGCTCGGGGGTGTGTGTGTGTTTTTTCATGCCCCTGAGTGACAAAGTTTTGCCAACATAAGTGCTAGTGTAGACATGGCCTAACTAGATAAGACAGACAAAGGGTAGGGGAAAGGGAAATACCATACACATAGAGTAATCAGTGTGATGGCTTGCTAGTTCCACAATATTTCTCTCTCTCTCTCTCTCACGGGTGGGGGATGGGGTTTAGTTGAAGGGAGTTAGCCAAACAGCACAAGGGAAGGGAGAGGGGACAGTGAAAGGAAGAGGTGACTGAGGGGGACAGGGCAGGAAAGACAATGAGGAGAGAGAGAGAGAGAGAGAGAGAAAGAAAAGGGTGTGAGGGGCAGGGGAGGAATGAGGCAGAGATGACGAGACTAGGAGAAAGCAGGACGGGGTTGGAGAAAACAGCCGGTCAATACAGGGCAGAGAAAGTGTAGTCAAAACTGTAGAAAACACTTTGAGCATGAGTTTAGGTATCAAAATCTGGCCCTCAGCATTCACACTTCATCTCACTTTTTTACTGGGTAAGAGCAGGATTTGTCCTACATTGTAACTGTGTGGTTTTCATACAGAGGGTGTCTGTTGTAATGATTGGTATAAGTACGGTTGGAGCTATGTAAGGGGTGCAAAACCGTACAAAGAAATAAATAACTTTACTCATGGTAGATACCGCAAACTCCCCCATTAACACTGCGCCTGTCCAGCTGGTAACAGTCAGTGGCAGTGCTATTTTTCATTTGTGACTCATGTTGCTAGCGTGACTATCAAACCCTTTCCCGATCAGATCACTGGGCAAATATTTGTAAATGATTTTTCATGGTTTGCTCTGGCATGGGATTGAGAAAAAAAGATCATCTTTATAGTTATATGCCAGATACGTCACATGTGTCTTTACAATAAAATTATCGTGTACATCTGTAAAAACATCGTCCAGCATCAGTCTTCTCAAAATGGTTTAACGTTATTTCCAATGTATTTTGCTGCCAGAAATTCAGCATCCAATGACTAAAAAACCCTTATATCAGAGGTAAAATTAGTTCATGCTCATGAAGATTAATCTACTTCCAAATTCAAGGCAAGGTTTCCAACTGGCATATTTAATACATTATATTTTTTTCATCTGTCACTGAAATTTGCGTTCAGCATGACTTTCCCTCTGAAGCAACAGAGCTTAAGGAACTGGGCAGTCATACCCTCATTTTTAAAAGCATTGGCTAAGACACAAGACTTCTCTAATTTATACCTTCTTTTCCATTTGATCGCTGTTTTCTTCCCCCTCCCCCTGTAATTTAAGAGATATGAATATTTCCAATCAGCTACTGCTAAAATAAATGTATGAATTAAAGTAAAAATAAAATGGCATCTTATATTATGATTTATTTCTCAGTTTTTCACAGAAAGAAGCATGAAGGCAGAAGTCCAGCACAGATCATAAGGCAGAGGTAGTCAACAATTCTCTTCAATGTACAGCATGTCAGTTTTTTAATGTTTGTGAGAGATGAGGGATTGACAACCCTGAAGAAGCCTTGGTAAAACCCTCTGTCCACAGAGCAGAGGCAATGGCTTTGTAATATCTGTACTGGAATTAGTATTGTAGATCCCATTACACCTGGAAGTGGTCCTGACTTTCTCTGTCATTGATAAAATTCATGCCCCTGCTGGAAACACGTGTTTCTCTTTGGGTTCCTGCCTGCACCGCATGGTGTCAGAACTGACTGGGTACCATTGCTGGGAAAGGAGAGAATAAATGAATACAGGAAGAGAAAGAGGGAAAGGTAGACGTCTCCATAATAAGAGTAGAAGGAAGCGCTGGAGCAGCCCCCAGAAGAGGCGAGATGAACAGAGAGAGAGAGCACCTCAAGCTCTCAAACTGAAAAGGCCCAACCCAAAGAGGGAGGCAAAGGAGGGCAGGGGGAGAGAGGGAAACAGTCAGGGAAGGGAAAACATATACTTTAACCTTGATATGGAGGGATCACTGCTCAGCTAACAGGGTGCTCCCATCCTTACACCACGCCAATCACTGCCTTTCCATAAGGAAAGTGATGCCACTTAGTATGAAGTGTAATAATTTCTTTATTTTGGACACCTGTGCACTGCTTGGACTCAAGCAACCAAGTCCCTGAGTTGCTGAGAAGGGCTTAGAACTGTGTAAATCCTAATGCTATACTGTTGCAATAGACTCTGTTCCAAATGAGGGGGAAATGCCAATCTCCTGTCCTGTTTAGTTTTTCCACTAGAGTGAAGAGTACCTCTTCCTTGCATTGATGATGGTGGCTGGTGAATTTAGCAGAACTCTTTCAAGATCCTCAACATGCTTCTCAATATCAGGTTGACTTTACATGTTACTTGCAAACCCTTGTACACACGAGTAGTCCGTTCTCATGCAAACAGACTTTGGTAGGATTATTCACAAGTGTAAAAGGCTTTACAAGCTCAGAGTGTAACATTTTAACTTCTTCAAATGAGGGAGTATCACATAGTCTGTTTGCCTATATCTCAAGAACAGAAAAGGTTGGTTAGATCATGTGGGTAGAGAATCTGGCCCACATTTTCCTGTGAAATGAATGGTTTATTTAAGATGCCAGAAGTGGGCAGGTTTCGCACCCCAGTTGCTGTAGTATGGGTACTTCAAGATTTACACATTCTTCCTTTTAAATCTTCCTTTTAAAACCATAAACCTGAATTACTAAGAGGTATGGAATGGAAGAGATTTTATATAAACCTCTAGTGAACTGAACCATAGCGTTCTTTATTTTCTGAAGCCTTTCTGATAATGTTAGAGCATTGTGGCAAATCTTGCCATAGACAGACTTGTATCCCTGAAATTCTTCTCAGGTCTATCTAATAACTGCATTCAGTATTTTATATATTGTATTTCTTTGAGCCAAAGGCATTTTTCCTTTTGTTTTATTTTCTGGAAAAAATGGAAACATCTTCATAGCTTTGTTAAATAATTAAAATGACAATGTACATTTCCTCTCTAAGGAACTAGATCCTCCTCCCATTAAGTTAATGGGAAAACCCCCATTGACTTCAAAGAGAAGCAGATCAGGCTTCTGGTTTCTTGGTTGTTTAAAACTCTTACATGAAATATAGTTCTTAAGAAAAGTATTTTGTCAACATAATGAATTGAAGTGTTTTTGTCTTGTATTATAATGCCAATATTTATACTTGCAACTGAAAATAATACCACACACTATACAAAATGTTTAGTGTTTGTCGTTTATTTCTTTTAAAACTCTCCAAACTCCTGTCAAACATTCTTAATTCCTTTTGTGTAATAAGGCAGTGACGTTAACTGAGACATAAACAATGGTGATGCCTGAAACCCACGTGGGATTGATTATAGGAGGTTGGGAGCAGGGGAGGGAAGGAGGGAGCGGAACAAGAGGTTGATCAATAAAATATATTTTCCATCTGCATGCCTTTTTGCTTTAGGATCCTCGGGGGGCAATTTAAAAAAAGAAAAGAAAGCAGTGTGTCAATTGAAGACATGTTTGCAGAGCTGAAACATATGGTTTGTTAGGAGCCTGAGGGAGGAAAAATAATGCTCGGCTCCTTTGATGTTAAAGCCTATTACACTGAATGTGCATTTTACTGAGATGGAAGCGGGGTTGGGGGTGGGGAAGGCCTGCCTTATGCAGGACTGAAGCCCAAGGAGCAGGGGGGCACAGATCGCCTCTCTAAACCCTTCAGTTATCTGAAAGTGTGGAGCTTTACACCATGAAATGGATTGCTAATTGAAGCACTGGTTAATTTACATATCTCTTTTTCCCTATAACCATATATGCACTTCTATCACAATCAATGCAGAACAGTGGAGATAGTACCCTCTTGATATTTTACAGTTCTTTGCTCATATTGGACCAAATCCTGGCTCCTCTCACTTCTAAGTGGTGTGTCACAATCTGGAGATATGGGGTTAGTATTCTCTTCATCTGTCCCCAGCAGAGAACCACTACCCAAAGTTCACTAGGACAGAAGGACTGAGTCTAATGTGCTTTGTTGCAATAAAATCTTAGGGTCAGATTGGAGGTTATCTTCTTTCACCCTTGCTCAAATTGAAATTGCATTGGGGTTTCTCAATATGAGTAAATGTGGTGGAATTTTGCCCCTTTGCTCTCAGTTATGCTTGTGCAAAACTGCACTGAACTTACTGGAATTAAGCTGGATTTACATGCGTGTAACTACCGAACATGTAGCCTCCAGTTACTAATTTCTGAGATTGAGAGTTGACGGTTATGCCTCTAGTTAAGGCTGCCCGACACTTCCCAATTTAAGACCCTGTTTTCAGTTGCCTATAACTTTTTCAAACTTTAACCATCCCTACTGTCAGGGATGTGCCTTTTGCTATCTGTATGAAAAGCTGCACAAAATTGGCCAAGCTATGAGCCTTTGGAAAATTCCACTTGGTACATGCGCACTAGAGACGTTAGAGTTTAGCAGCTAAATTCTTTGAAGAAGCTGAGCAGTACTTCCCCTGCAATTGCTTCTCCCAGCAGCCAGGGTCTGCTGTGTCAGCAAGTACTGGAAGTGAGAGCAGGGAGGAGAAGGAAAAAGTGGCAGTGGCCATGCTGGAATGCAGAGTAGTGGGAAATGAGGGCTTGGGGGAGGAGGTTGCAGAAGTCAGAGGATGGGAAAGAGCAGAAAAGAAAGGGGATAGCAGCAAAGGAGGAAGTGGGAGAGAGGGTGGGAGTATTGAACAGGAGCAGAGAGGGATTCAGGCAGGAGCTGGAGGGGTGGGATAGAAACAGAAGGGGACAGAGGCAGGCTGGGGACACAGAACCAGAAGGGTCTATAACCACTCTCCTCCAGAACCTGGAATAGGACCCAGGAGTCCTGAGTCTCAGCATTCCTTTGCTGTTAGGAAATAGCTGTGAGACCCACTGGAAAACTATGTTCCCACCCCCTTTTAATAACTGGTCCACATAAAGGATAACAGCCTACTGTGACATTCCCCTCTGGTGTTATCTGGACCAGTGATCTGCTAGGCCACTCCAATCCTTGACTCTGGGAGCCAGCCTTACCCTGCTGTACTGTGAGAACCCCCACTCCTGGGCTGCTCACACATAGCCTCTGGCATGTAAGCTGCTCCCAGCTACTTGCAACCAAATGACACTAGCCAATATCTCTGGTCCCAGAAACAACCCTAGGAACCTCTGTCTTGCAGTGTCCACTTACGCCCACTGGACGCTGCAAGCTTATGTAAGTTTGTCAATTTAACAAACAAATTGATATGTACCAGGCTTGTTATCCCAAGGGGAGTCTCTGACACACTTCAAACCAAACGCACTGCTTCAGGTAGAATAAACAAACAGATTTATTAGCTATAAAGATAGATTTTAAGTGATTATAAGTCAAAGCAAAACAAGTCAGATTTGGTCAAATGAAATAAAAGCAAAACGCATTCTAAGCTGATCTTAACACTTTCAATGTCCTTAAAAACTTAGGTGCTTCTCACCACAGGCTGGCTGGTTACTTTTCAGCCAGGCTCTCCCCTTTGATCAGTGTTTCAGTCGCTTGATGGTGTCTGTAGATGTAGGTGCAAGAGAGAGAGATGGCAAAATGTCCCTCCCTTTTATCATGTCCTTTCTTTCCTCTTGGCTTTGCCCCCCCCCTTCAGAGTCAGGGGAGCATTACCTCATGGCAGTCCCAAACTGACCAAAGAAGGGGGTGACTCCCTCAAGGGTCTAACAGATTCTTTTGTTGCTGCCTAGGCCAGCGTCCTTTGTTCCTGTGAGGCTGGGCTGGGTTTGTCCTGGGAGGTGTGAACTGCCTCTCTGTTCTTGGAGAGTTTTTGCATGGGCTTGCTTTAAGCCATGAGGATACATTTTCAGCCTTATAACTATATACATAAAGTATAACCTATAACATTACTGTAACAATTACTATAACAACTATGCTCAGTGCATTATGAGCCTTCCGGAGACACCCAACATGACAAACTTTGCATTGGATACCACACAGTCATTTTATAAAGATGAACATAGGGGTGTAGGGTGTTCCCCCGAGGTACAGAGCGTCACATCTACTACTGCTACCAGTTACGGCTGGTTTAGGAGACTTAAACAGATGACACTACACAGCTCCTTACTGGCTAATAAAATGGCTTAAGCAAAATAAGAACTGGCTCAAAACTACACCCTTTTCTGGAACTAATTTAAATGGATAATCTTGTCCTGTCTCCTTCATCCCCACAACAGCCTTTCTCAACCACCTTTGACGATCTGCCAGTGAAATTTAGCAGTCTGTCTGCTAAGTCCCATTATTGCTTCTTTGAACTTTGATGTCACTTTGGGGTTTCCCTAGTGCAGGGGTTGGCAACCTCTCCGAAGTGGTATGCCGAGTCTTCATTTATTCACTCTAATTTAAGGTTTCGCATGCCAGTAATACATTTTAATGTTTTTAGAAGGTCTCTTTCTATAAGTCTATAATATATAACTAAACTATTGTTGTATGTAAAGTAAATAAGGTTTTTAAAATGTTTAAGAAGCTTAATTTAAAATTAAATTAAAATGCAGAGCCTCCAGACCGGTGGCCAGGACCTGGGCAGTGTGAGTGCCACTGAAAATCAGCTTGCGTGCTGCCTTCGGCACGCGTGCCATAGGTTGCCTACCGCTGCCCTAGTGAGTTGGGCCCCACAGTACCAATTGTGGTGATGTGCCTAAAGCATATGAGCTTTTTGTCCACGTGCGATTAGCAGCTTCAGTGAGAAAGGAAAGACTTCTTGCAGTCTGGGGATTTCCAGAGGCACATCATGCTGCTGAGGGTTCATCTCAAGGGCCAGCCCGAAAGAAATCCTGGATTTAGGAAAAATCTACAGTAGCTGATTCCACTACTTCTGGGGAAGAGCTTTCAGCTTTTCTTTTTCTGCACATATCTCTCCTGAAGAATAGCTGTGGCTCCCATTCCACAAAGACTTTGCTTCCACCACTGTATGACAGGGAGGTCAGCCTAAAGAGATGTGACTATTCAGGTTGCATTTAACTGAAGTATGAATTTTAGGCACATTTGAAAAACCACACTAGGTGCCTGTCTGCTTCTTTCAATACCTAAATACTTTTGAAAATCTGACCCTAGATGTTTTGCCCAACATCATCCATAAAGTCTGAGGCAAAGCAGGGACCTGAACCTGTGTTGCCCAATAGTCGTTCCCAACTACTAGACCACCCTTTCTTGAATACTCTGAAAGAAGGGGGAAGGACAAGAGTCTAGTCCTTTCTCTTTTCAGTAGCCTGGGGATGGGCCCCTTGTCTGCTTTGGGAATCTGTTCTGCTATGAACGAGGTGGGAATGAATCTCTCTCCTTTTCTCTCTGTTGCCCGTTCACACCAGCACACAGTCAGACGCTTCCCTTTTCTTTTGTCTTTATTTCTTTGGTTCATTCGAGTTCATTTAGACCCTCTTTTCTGTATCCCAAGACCTGAAGTGCCTGAGGAGGCTGCATTTTCAATTAGGACCAGCTGGAGCTAAGGAATCCTGTGGAGAGGCAAGCGCTCCCAAGATGCTTAGATAATATGTTCCAGTTGCTATAAAAACCTGATCAGGGAACTAGAACTGAGACTGGGAGAAGATTAGTTTAAAAGTCCATGTTATATGTGCTCTCAAGCCGTGGGGAACTATGAAGCTCTTGGCCATTTAATTATTTTCCTTGGTTAGTAAATGTTTGGCATTTTACTTTGCGAGTAGCCTGTTATCAGCTGATCTTGGATGCTTGGTAGAGACATAAGGCTTATCTACATGGCCCTGCAGTGTGCACTACAGGGGTGTGAGCTGCAATGCCCACTGAAGTGTTGAGCTATAACTGCCCCGTGTTAGACCCTGCTAGAACAAACTGTAAATGGGACTATGTTAATACAAACTAGGTACCGTTTAGTTTGTGCTAGGAGGGTCTACATGGGGCAGTTATAGCTCTACACTCAGTGTGCACTGCAGTTCACACACACCCGTAGTCCGCACTGTGGGGCCATGTAGACAAGCTCATAATGCCTGGTGGGAAATGATTGCACCAGTCATGCTGCTACCGGAGCGGGGAAAGGGTGACCAGCTATTAGAGTGACCCTAAAGCACCAGCCATGCTCAGCAGCGGTTGGTGTCCACTGCAGGGAAGATATAGTAACTGCAGTAGGAGAGGGTCAACCACTTGCAGGACTTAAGTTTTGGTTAAACTGAATCTGCGTCTACATTTCTGGATGCTTAACGTAACA